CTCATCTAGGTAAAGTTTTGTATTCCTTCCCATCTCACCTATATTAACTGCATATAAATATTAGCACCTTCAACATTTTTTTGCCACCTCAGCCATCACAATTAAATCACAAACAACACAATGACATTAACACAACCAACATCTAAAAATGTCAATAATACAAGAGCAGCAGCCATAACAGAGAAAAGGGGCGAGGAATGATTGGTAATGAGGCTTAAAATGCCTTCTCCAACTCAAAGGCATGGCCACCATCCCAAACCTCCAATGTTCAGTTATCTAAAGTCGAATTGTGAAATGATTTGTGATAAGGTTACAGTCAACAATATCTCTTGAATTTGATTTCTTATTTTCTAGGCCCTTTTCGTATTGGCAAGCTCATTTTGGTAATTCCAAAATTAGGTATTAGCAATTTAGAATATTGGTTTGCAAGAATTGGATCCAGAAATCTGTTGGGTTTTTCCCATATTTGAGGGAGCGTAAGGGAGAAGTTGGGGATGGTGTGATAAGGTTGCATGGTGGTCGCAACAATGTTGACACAGTTTTTGCAATGGAGTCGAAAAGTATTACTCATCAGTATACCAACTAATTGACACTTCTACACAAATCACAAATATATTTTGAAATTTGAAATTCTAGAATCAAATAATGATTGAATTTTAGGCAAAGCAAAGTAAAACTGACCTTTGGACTAGTAGTGCACGATGGACGGAGTGGCGGTGGCAAGTGTGGCGGACTGGGGGCAAGGACGAACCAGGTTGAATCGCGGAGGCTAAATTGACCTATGAGGCAGAATCGTGGAGGCTGAATTGAATTATGAGGCTAAATAGCAGCCGTAGGCAGTGGAAACGTAGGTTGGAGGGTTTTTGCAAAAGGGGTATCAAATTGCAAATTCCTCACATAAGAGGATTTTGTAGGAGGAAGAAACGGGATTATGGAGTGTAAATTCCAAGTTCCTCACAATAGATGCACGCCAGATTGGCATCCGAGGGCAGGAGAGGAATAAATGGAAGGAGTGTTACGATTATTTTTTATTTCTATCATTTGTGCCCGTATATAATTTAATTTGGGAAAAAGGTACAAAACTTTTCGCAACGTTCAGAAAACGTTGCAAAAGTAAAACCTTTAGCAACGTTTGATGAACATTGCTAAA